TTTATCTGCTACAGCTGAAACAATTTAATTATATTAATTTCGGATATGAAGCTCGTCACGAAAATCACAAGTGAAACTGAGGAGTTCGAAGCGCGTCACCGGCACTGCGCTTGTCGTATACTCCCGATCATTGACGAATGAAAAGTCATGCCAGGCCGAGTCCGCCATTCAAATAAACAATTTAAATGTTTTTATCAGAATGGTTACTTGTTTTAAATGTATCTTTCTAGATAAACTAAATTATTTAAACTAGTTAAACATCCTAATAAAACAGGCACCCGATTTATTATTTCCAATTGAACTGTTTCCAGAACATTCAGTTTAATTGAACCAAATTGGTTAGTTACTCCGGATAATAAAATTCATAACGGGTTATGAAAGCTTTCCAGAAAAACTGACCACGTACGAGGACACGCGCCGCCAATGACCATAATTATTCAGGACCCAATACCTGTCAGTTCTTGGCAGCTACATGTTTTGATAACAATTTTATGCTTGTTTTTCATTAACATTAAATGGAAGTACTTGGATAGGTTGTGATACAGGTTGTACCGCTACAAATTGTCCTTCCCTCTAACTTTTTTGTCTGGCCTTTTCAGAAGAAGCGTTTCATACAAAAGTTGTAGGGTCTAATATAAAGTTTCACGTGCAATATATTTTTTATACCTTGTATCTCAGAAAAGTCATTTTTTTCAAATGCGCACTCTCTAGAATTTACTGAAGACGGTAAACGTTTTTTCTCTTATTCAAAATATATATGGGTTGTCAAACTTATTTTCATTAGTTTGATCAAAACTTGTGCTTTGAGTGTCATTTATTCATGTGTGTCCGAGTTCAAACTAGTTTGTATCTAGTCGGGTAATCTGGCATAGGACTGAATACATATGATTAAATTACACACAAGATTTGGTATTTGATCAAAGTAATAAAAGTAAGCGTGATAAACGATATATTCTTGGAACCAGAAAGAAAGGCTGCCATCACTTTTACTAATAATACTGGGTATTTTTTATTCGAATCTCGGAGTTTAAAGCGGTGAAAGATGCAGAGTCAGTTAGAAGGTTTCGCAATTACGAGTACGATATAGACAAGAGAAACCTAATTTATCCCAACCCGTTTTTATTTTTACTCAGCTTTATTTGGTATCGGATTTCAAAATAAAGAGTTCCTTAATATTTCCACTTTTTTTCCTCTAAAATTAGACTTTCGGAATGACGTTTCGTCTATTGTAGATTTTTGAACTAGAGCATCTAATTGTGATTCCAACGATGTATCAGCCAATTACAGTGTGAAACCTGAGTTATTTCAAAAAAGCTAATATTTTCATATTTGATTTTGACAATGACAGCTTATTACATGTTTATCCCATTAAATTACCAATGTTTTAATTTTGCAAGAAGCGTTTCCATTGAGATATCTTGTCCATTTATCGACTACCACTAGCATTATTTACAATGATTGAGGCGCTCTAGACCTTAGCCATAGATATTTCCACGCAAGACGTGTACATCGGTTTAGATATGAGGGATATGAAATGTGTTAAATAAGCTGTAACATCGTTAAGCCTTTACTCCAAAATCCATGTATCAGTTACATAAATTAATAATGTTATCAATACGATTCCAAAATAATATCAACAGGTTGTAGGTTGACCTTTATTTGATGAGTGAAGACTAACTATAGAAATATCATATCATTAAAAATGGAATCAGGAATGTTCAACTGTGCTCAGTTTATAAGAACTTAAGGAACGATTGGCTGATGACATTATGAAACAATGACTGTCTGATAATTTCGAGGCCTACTCATAAAATCGGTTATTTTGAAACAAGGTTTAACATTTTCAATGTATGCCATATTATATATTTTAGGACTCAAAATTAAAAACTCTATGCATATGTCCAAAAATCCAATGTGGCGTTAACAAGAAAAATAAATACGATTTGGGAAAAATTCGGTTTCTTCAGTGTAGAGTATACCATGGTTAATTTATGTAATAAAGCGTTACAAGTTATTTTAGCAACAAAGTTTGTTCAAATCAATCGCAAACTATGTAATAAATTCCTATTTAAAATAAGTACGAGATATTTCCTTATCTTTCTTAAAGAAATAAGTTTTTCCCACAAAAAAAACGCACCAATATCTAATTCAACAACAAAATGATAAACAAACCATCGGCGTAGTGAAGAAAAACATTTACTTATTAAGTAAATTCTTTTAGTCAAATATCTTCTGAAAGTATTACAAACTAATCTGATAAACCTATTAAAGTCTACTTTAGGCTTTAAATCAATGAATCTTCAAAACTACTGAACTGAAGCTCATGTATTTTACATCATTATAAAGGGAATTGAAAGACCTTTAAAATAAGGTAACATCATTTTTTGCCAAACTTGTATCCCCCTCGAAAACAAAATCGACGGGTCTGAGCGTTTTTCCAAAAAAAAAACTGTGCTGTCAGTATATGCGTGCGTTTCGTTTTTAACGCGCCACCCTGTATAATAAATAGGTCAAGTTATATAAAAGCATGCAATTAAAAACAATTAATACACCATGAATGTACTTCTCGGTAATTTTTTTTTGCATCCTCAGAACGAGAGGAAATCGGGTTGAAAGCTCGTTAGCATTGTAATGCTATATGACTTTTTACTAGATTGTGTTTTTTAATTCAATATCAAACTGCAAGGCATAATAATATCCTGAAATGACACCTCGGAATTCCAGAACATAACCTCAGCATTACAAAAAAAACACTGTTGAATTATGCAACACGCAACCTTCTCGCCAACTTATCCGTATCATCTTAGCAGAGATAAAATAAAGTTTCTGCTGCTGCTTCTGCTAGAATGTCGGTCGTCATATTTAGCGATATTCATGAATTTCAACTTCATTTAAATATAGGGTCGAAGTTAGGCGGAACTTTGCGAATAAACTCCAAGTTCAATAAGTGTGAACGACTGCCGTTTTGGGATCGAAGATGCGGCCACATCATAGTCGAGATCATACTTGCGTATATCGCCCAATAATGATAGAACGTGGAAGCTTGAATTTATTGAGGAATTTCGGAGGCGCATGGGAGGTCATTGCCTCCCAATTTTTACTTATTGCGTTTATCTCCCTTTCAGAAGCTCTCTCACACCATGCCACCTAGTTTTTAAGTCGTCTTTACTATAGAACATTTTTTTAAGGCACAGTTATTTTTGAAGAATAAAGGCCAATTCCCATCTAAGCAGCATCGAGCGGCGCGACGCAGAGCGACGCCGAGCAGCATGAGCAGCGACGCGTAGTTTTCATCTAGCCGTCAAGATGTCATCATCTTCGTCATCAGACAATTTTATATTTCTCGCAGTTGTATGCCATGAACTTGTCAAGCAATCTAGTAACAGTTTAACGAAAATATCCTGTTTGTTATCAATTATTTCTTAAAAAGGACCCGTCAACAATAAGTTCTTTCATATGTTATTTAAATGGATAATTAAAGCAATAGTTAATTAGCACTTACCTTTTTCATTAATTTTATTCCCTATTTCCAACCAAACTATATCCCTCTTATTTTGATTACTGTAGTTTTTATTAGCCATATCATATAATTCACTGTATTCACCCACAAGAAGGATAAGCTTTTCGATTTTTTCTCCGTCCATAATTAAAACTGTGATGATGACTTTTTGGCAAAAAAGTTGCTGCTTGCATGCGAAACCTACTATTCCCACCTGTCCGTCAACAAGCAGAGCCGCGCATGTGTAGCGACAATGCTGCGAGTCAATGCTTCACGAGGAATTAAAATTTTTTAATGTGTCGCGCTGCTCTGCTCTGCGCAGCGCCGCTCTGCTTAGGTGAAAACGATTTCATTTAATTACAAGTAGACAATTGTAAGCAGCATTTGGCTGCACCGCTCGGCTCTGCGTCGCGCCGCTCGATGCTGCTTAGATGGGAATTGGCCTTAATTCCATATTTTCTGTTTTCGTAGGAGTCACAGTACCACGACTGTACCTCTGAATCTAGTAGACGAAATCGTTAGAGCACAAGATAAAAAATTAGCATCGACAGTTGTTTCTTTTGATTACTCAAAACTTTTGACTGTATCGATGATGACCTTTTATTTGCTAAATTAAAATATTATGGCTTTGATACTAGCTCTGCATTATTTTTCAAATCGTATTCAAAAATCGCAAACAATATGTCTGGTTTCTTATAAACATATATAAAACGTTTTAAAAATACACTTTGGCAAGAATTAGTTAAACATCCTTTTTATTCCTTGAATGAGTTTATCGCGACCCCCCTATGTGTGTGATCTGGCCTACTACACATTTATATTATATTTTATTTTATTTTTACCAATTATAGTTTTATATGTATTGTATATGTCATCAGTAGTTTTCAAGAAGCTATTTTTATGTGTTATGCATACCAACAATTTTTATGACAAGTGTAAAAACAAATGTTTTGTTAATTGGCACGTAATATATATTCTATTCTATTCTATTCTATTCTATTTTATTCTATATTCTATTCTATATTTCAAACGTAATATCTGGAGTACCACAATACTACATCCTTGGTCCAATTCTATTTTCAATATGTACGAGTACATACATACATAACTTGAATCCGAAAATTTACGAACAGGCGTGACACAAACCAATAGTGTGTAGTCATAAATGTACAGTGTACACAGAAAATGACAAAAATAAGATTAGAGGATTTCAGTATAGTCTATCATAGCGTTAAACCGACTTCCTGTAATATATTTAATATTTCAGGTATACAAATTAACGAGCAACTTCGTTTGAGACAACAAGCCAAACATTATACTGCGACTTCGTGGACTACATAATAATAGGTTTAGTTTAAATAATATATTGAACAAAACGATTGCATCAAACTTTTATTCTCTCTATCGTTAAATATCGATTCTTAGTTTAATACCTTTGTTTATTCTATGTATACACGGAATCTAAACGATACAAAATATATGCTGTAGCTTTACTAATGACTTAGAAAATATGGCCATAGATCTGAAAAGGCTTAGGAGTTGATTTGGTTAAAAATTCCAATTGCATTGCAACATGATATCGTGATTTTTGTACCCTCACCTTGTCCAGTGTACCTTGAAGACAAAATACATTTTAGAAACCTTCATAATTTAAACTCAAGAAACCAACTATCTCTAGACGTACCTTCTAGTTCAGCAACCGTTTTTCATAGAAGTTTTAGATATCAATCAATCAGTAAATATTACTCACTTCATTTAGAACCGAAACCATAACCGGTACGAAAACTCAGTGCTTAAGCAACATTCGTACGATAGAGAATGTAAGATTTCTCACACCAAGCCACCTGGCTTTAAAATCATTTTTACGATAGAGTATTTTTTTTTTGAGATACACCTCGTTTTGGGAATCGTTTCATTCGGCGTGAAGAAGAGTTTTCATTTATATTTTTTAACTACTCCCCTTCAGACGATTTTCCACACCATGCCACCTGTCCTTTAAGTCGTCTTTATGATAGAGTATTTTTTGAGACACAACTCGGTTTGGGGAATCATTTAGTTGGGGGTGAAAGTGAACTGTCATTTATATCTCATTACCTACTACCCCTTCTGAGACTTTCTCACCCCATACCATTTCTTTTAAGATACAAGTTGTTTTGAGGAATCATTTCCTTGGAGGTGAAGATGGATTTTTGTTTATACTTAGCATCTGCTAAGCCTTCAGAAGCTTTCTGACACCTTGCCAACTGGCCTACAAATTGTCTTTATTATTTTCTTCGATATGCAAATCGTTTTGATAATCCATTTCGCCGAGGGTGAAAATTTCTGCTTATATTTCTTTCAGCTGTTCTCTTTCAGAAGCTTTCTCACACCTCCCCGTAACTTTTTGATGCTTATATTTGAACATTTGAAAGAAATTAATTCAAACTGTGTGAGCCCTGAATAAATTAAAATAGTGGAAGAATAAAAACTGTTTAGTTATCCTTAGGCTTAGTAAGAATCCATCTCTGTCATATATGTATGACCGATTGTTTTAGTTACCCTTGGTATATCGACATTACTGGCTTTCAGTCTTATTCCGAACTGATGTGACGCATGGTTACAATTTGAAAAATGAGCATATTGACATTTCAGTAATGTTATAGGTAGATATGTCTGATATCCATTAGTCCTGTCTGTATGTACAGTTGGTCACTAGGGTAAGTATAACATACGTGTATCATTACCGTAATGTGTCATTTTTGAACTATCTCCGTACATTTTAGGTATGTTTTAGTAACCCCCTTCCCACGCAATAACTTCAAATTTAGATTCAATGAGAGAGAACGGCCGCTGTGTGGAGATCGAGAATGCAGCCATATTATAAATAGGCTCATGGGGCATAGTTGCAAATGACGCCCAAGAGCGGTAAAAGGTGGGAGCTGGAATTGTTTTGACCAAGAATTCGTTGTAAAGCCTAAGAATGATAGAAGCTTCCTTGAGGAAGAAGTTTGAATTTTTGAAGAACGTTTTGTAGCATCTACACTTATATAGGTAACATTTGAGTCTATTGTCTATTGTTGACTTGACAGTGATTCGGAAAGGTTAGTTCTGATTCAGATCAGAGAATCGCCATCTCAAAAAGTGAATACCGTATTTGCGCCTATATTATCTGCCAGATCGTTAAAGACAAGCGGGATCAGAAATTCAACTAAAAATGTGCAAGCTGAGTCAAAAGGTCATTTACGATGCTGAGAACAATACTATATTTGATAAGCGCTATTAGAAAAAACGTTGTTTTTTTGTAGAATCATCTGAACATTTGCACGTTCTTTTAGAGGAAAAGCTTATACTATGCAAAAGGTTTAGGGTTAAGTGAAATGTTTTTGAGGCAGTATCTCTATCAAATAAAATTGTATATCCTGTACCTTTTTAGTGAAAATGAAAGTCGTCGCTTCTTTACTAATTCTAAATGTGTATGGTTTATTATGCTTATTTCCATTACTCTGATCTTATGTGTCATTTATTTGTACGCATCCGGATCTATCATACCAGATTGCCTAGGCGGCTAGCTGCAAACTGGCTTGAATAAATAACACACAAAATTTAAGTCTTTGATCAAACAAATGAAAATAAGAACGACAAACCATATATATTTGGAATTAGATAAAAAAAACATTATATCGTCTTCACTAAAATTATACAGGTTGCTCATTTAAAAAAATGGACTTTTCTGAGATGCTAGGTATAAAAAATATATTGCACGAAAACTTCATATTAGACCCAACAACTTTTTTATGATACGCTTTTTCTGAACATTATCTCATTCTCACTAAAAATATACAGCCTATCAAATTTGGTATAAAATGCGCGATACATGTCATTAAATGACACATACAAATTTTTAACTAAAGTAATAAAAATGAGCGATATACCTTCAGAATCATAAAAAATCATTATTTTGACTAATGATATACAGAATGTTTCATTTGAACAAATACAGCTCAACAGCACTTTTCTGGGATGCCGTGTATGTAAAAAAGAAAGTACACGTGTGATTTTGTATTTGACCATTCTATTTTTAAGCAAAGTATGTTTTTCTAAGCGGTCATACAAAAAAGTTAGAGGGTTTGCAATTTCAAACCGGGCACCCTGTCCATACATGTCTACTGCAAACCCTAGGTGACAGTCTATGCAATGTTGGTAATAAGTTAAATATTGTTCATTGGCGTCAAAGATTCAAAAGTTGGAAAACTTCAAAATCAAAAAGATAGGTTTGAGGATTTTCAAACTTTTTCGTGCTATTCGAAGACTACCTTTTTCAGTCGATCTTTTTGAAGCAAAATGCCTTCATGTTGTCTCAGCAAATGATTCTCATTTTCAATTTCCGGAGTATTTCCATTAAAATGAAAGATTTCGCGATGTGTGCTATGGAAACATTCTATATGAATATTTCCACTATGGAGAAAAACATATATTAGTTCTACTGAAAATTCCTGTAAAAAAGTAAACTCGCCTTTTGGAAGTTGCCCGTTCATTCTGTACTCTCATCATTTGTATTGTGAGAAAATTCATTGGTTTTTGTACGTGCGCGAAATAAAAGCTCGCGTGTTGAAACGATAATGGGCCGAGAGAGCTTAATTAAAGTCTATTTGTTCCCTAGTAAATAATGCAGAAAGGTTTTTTTCAAAAACGGAACAAGTTCGATAGAGTAAGTAGATATATATATATATATATATACTCGTATATACATATAGGGTGGCCCATCCATGTGTGGTCGGAATATTACTTACATTTTGGGAAAATCTATTTAAGGCATGTTATACATGACATTTGAGGGTACATTTCTGAAATATTGGCAACTATACAGGGTGTCGCAATTTTGGCCTACATATCAAAGTTTTTAAATGGATTATCTCAAATCTTAAGGCATATTTGAATAGACCAGTTCAAAAGAATACGATTGATATAACAAACGGACATTTTGAAATTTGTAGTGCTGAATTTTGTATAAAAAAAACTTTCACACCTTAGCTTTTATCTTGTTTGTTACTTTTTCGAATTTTCATTTTTGCTCATACAGGGTGGTCAAAAACGCGAACTATACTTTTCCTCTAAAATTTCAAATGCATCACCTTGTATATTTGTGCAAGTTTGGATTTAATTTCTTATAAGCTTTTTTTGGTATAAGGTTTGACTCAGATAAAATCACTAGATCTTGAGTTGCCAAGCGTTTAATAGAACAACACACCAAAATTAAGGAAACAAATCACATCATCCATGGAAACAAAAGACAAACAGTGGGCTAGTTCCATATTGCCAATAAGAGTACAGATCTGACGTAAAAACTAATAACAGCAGAACAATATAAATCAGCTTCACACGTAATAGAGAAAAAAAAACTATAACAACAACATAAACAAACAACTATCACTACTCAAGGCCTAATCTACAAAAACTGCTAGAAAATATCTCCACCATGTTGAACACACAGCCGTAGCCTTTGGATAAATGACCGTTGCACATACCTCAGTATGTGTCCCTCATGTTCAGAAAAGCATCCTTAGTCCTTTCCTTCATATTTTCCGGGAGATGGTGTATATCTATAAACCTCTTGCTTAACGTAGCCCCATAGAAAAGAGTCCATCGGTGTCATATTATCTACTGATTAGGAGACCAAGATATAGGCCCATCTCGACCGATACAAAGATTGTTACTTCAGGTGTCCAAAACGAACACCATATTTACCATTTCTTCTTTAGAAAATTCATTTCCAAACGCATTCTTATTATAACGCTCACAAAACTAATTTTGACAGTTTGTAACTAATCAACAACTTATTTGGTTCCAAGGATGATGCGATATTTTAGGGAACTAAGCCGTTCCATAAAAGACGTGCTAATAACCGAAAAAATAGCCGAAAAAACCCTTATGTGTCTAGTATGAAAAAAAAACTTGTAAAAAATTGAATCCAATCTTGCATAAATATACACAGGATGATGCATTTGAAATTTTTGAGAAAATCTACAATTTGCGTTTTTGACCACCCTGTACTAGCAAAAATTAAAATTTGAAAAAGTAACAAATAAGATGAAACACGAGGAGTTTAATTTTTTTTGATACAAAATTCAGCACTCCAAATTTCAAAATTGCTGACTGAGGGGTTGCCGAAGTGGAGGGTTTTTCTAGACAAAACACATTATATCTCAGTAGCTGATAACCAAAACCCCATAGCATGTTATATCAATTTTCTTCTTTTGAATTGGTTTATCCAATATGCAATAAAATTTGGAGCATTCAATTTGAAAAATCACACCCTGTATAATAAACAAAATTTTAAAAATTTGCCCTCAAATGTCGTATATTACATCCCATAAATAGATTTTCCCTAAATGTATTTGTTTATTAGTATAATATTTCCTCCACACATGGATGGGCCACCCTGTATAAATATATTGGCAAAATTTACTGCAGGTGGCTTTTGGCGTTACGCCCCATGATGAAGTTCATCAAGCAGCGCCGCAGTAGGATGCAAACATAAGGGAAAGCTAAGAGACGATCTCACAATTCTTATGTCTACAAAGTTAAGTGTGTGAGTGAGATTATGCTTGTATAGGATTAATTTCTTATAGTATGCAATTTGCTTCGAGTTCCCATAATAGTTTTTAGTTACAAACAGATGCATATATCGCAAGATTTTTTATTGGTACCAAAATTATACATGCATACAGCCTTTCATCTTCCAGCGTTCATTTAGGCAGTAAGCCTTCCTTTTGCTAGCACCATTCCAGACCTTGAATCAAAATACATTGTTGAAGTTGTATCATGACCGATAAATGATTTTCCTTTCGCTCGTTCAATATTCTTTTTCTGCAAAGCTATTTTATTAGCATGAGTGACTGAGTCAATCAACAGAGAAGAGCTAACCGACTGATACATGACTGCTTTTAGCGGATAGTCTCGGAACTCTGTTGCACCGTCGGAAAACTAGCTCTTTCCTAGCACTATGTAAACGGGCTTTGCTACTCAGAGCTTTACTCCACGATACTGTCGCCCGATGAGCCTACCAGCCAGTCTCGCCCAACTTCGGTGTCCCGCCCTAACCATTTCGAACTGTCGGTAGCCGCGCCGCTCAGGTATTTAGGCTTCTGCATATGCGGCAGCTTAGGTACAAGAAAGATCTGAGGTATTTTGTCCCACCTCTTAACCTCTAAGTCAGCTTTAAGTTGCCGCAATTCACCCGCACTCACCTGTTTCACTCTCCTCGTCTTCCGGTAGCAACGTCTGACAGCTGACACAGTCCATCAACATCAAAACAGCGGCGGCAGCGAGGATAGTCATTTTTGCCATGTCACGCAGTAACACTCACTTATACAGTCCACTTTATTAAGCACACCCGCACTATGTTTAGTGAAAGTGTTGTTACGTCACCAATGGTTAGTCAAACGTTCGCACTGACCGGTTGAGATCTTCTGTCTACATGTGGTGGAGTCTCCTTACTTTCACACAGTCTTCAATGCTAGATTAAAAATATTTCTATTTAGTCAAAGTCTGCATAAGTAATTCCAGAGATGTTCAGTCAGTTCGCAGAGTGACCGAAGGTTCAAAACAAATTTCAAGATTCTTATGAATTTCGGACTAACAGAAATACTTGGTCAAAGCCTCTTTCTTAAGTAAAGCCAGACGAAAATGATTCTATGCAGCATTTCCTACATTTTGTATTCAACCGTCCATTTTTTACGTTGAGGGTGCCTTGTCAATGTTGGACAAGATTTTTTTAAGTCCGACCACTATTTAAAAAAAAAAACAAGAGCATTTCGAACTTTTACTGAATCCACTAGGCACGGCGAAGAAAAAGTAATTTTTGCTCTCCATTTGATTACGTGTATTTTTGTCATTACCTTAGCCGATTCACGCACTTTGACAAAGTTAATCTCTTTTGTAAAGCGTTCTATAAAAATGATAAGTATGTCCCATCATTTTTAATACATTCTGTAATTTCGGTAACAACCAATGGCCTAGTCAGTGTTTGATGAGATTCCTGACCTTCTTTGATCTGAGTTTTACTAAGAGAGATAAGGAGGGAGAGTTACGCAGCCAAAGTGCAAAAATCAGTTTTAAGGGCTTTGAACAAATCAGTCACTTTGCAGATTGTTTTTCAGTTCCAGGATAACCTGTATTTCAGACATTGACTACAACGTGATAGTTGAAATGGATTGAGGGCGTGGATTTTGAAATTCATGGGCCTGGGTGAAATTTTTTTATGATCAACGCTATAATGATCCAAATATACAGCTTTTCATATGATTGTGCGTCAACTTTTGCTAGGCTACTAATTTTCATTGCATTTTTTTCGTATGGAATGTTTGGATTTATAAAAACATATGTTGAATGTACAAAGAATAATTAAATCTATCGTAATTTGAAATTATGGTGGATGAGCGTAATATCTCTGTTAAGCATACTCGCATAATATTATAATTATATTATAATTATTATATCGCAAATACCTATTTTGAACATAAATCAGTAATGCAAATATTTGCAACTTTAATTCAATTTGAATTACATGTTTAAGCATTTAATCTAATTGTAGTTTAAACATTCCGTATGCTCATCGCAACTGAAATTTGGGTGAATATCAGCAATTTCCTATTCAGAATAATTAGTTAGTTCCAAAATCTCTTACAGGTTTAACAAAAGTTTCGACTAATAATCACAGTATCCCACTAAAAAATATCTGACAAGTTAGGTATTCCTCTTGAGAAAAATTTTGGTCAGAAGGGGTACTGTATTTCTACACGCCTGAGGTAAACCTGGAAGATGTTTGCATTAAGAGTTTTAAGACTGCAATAATTACACAATATATGTTGGTCATGGATGGAGTATCACTTCTCTATAATATTGTTTGATCCGTTTTTTTCTTTATCACTAGCGTAGAAATGTATACCACAGTGTATCGAAAAAAAAAACAAGAAACTTCAGTACCCATGCTTATGCTTCAATAATCACTCCAGTTGCCACCTTGTATATTTTCTATTTTCCTTATACATTATTCGGAAATCACTAGTGAGATTACTGGAAGTCTAACATATTTCTTGGCAAGGCGTATGCCACAAATTATTGAGTTGTCAACGTCTTATGAAATTTTTTGAAACGTCGCGAAGAAATCAAGGAAAAAGTTTGAATGCTTAGGAACATTACTGATACGTTTGTGAAAGTTGATGAGCTAGCAATCAATATAGGAATAAGTTCTAGCCCGATATACTCAAATATCGCAGAAATAAGGTATCTTAAATGGCAAGAGTTTTTATTTTTTTATATTTGTTTGAATAATTGGCCAGCCTTGTTCGAAAACTAAATCAGTTGTTTATGAATTATAAGAATATTCGGGAAGCCAGTCAGGTACAATTGTTGTCAACTGTCGTAAAAGTATACAAAAATGTGTAAAAATAGTACGTTGTCGATAACTAGGAAACGCTTATATTTGGCCGCCGAGTTAGTTGGGTGGATTTATTGCAAATAATCTGTAGTATAACGCTTTTCAAAAAATAGACCGAGTACGCGATCGCACTTTATGTTGCAGAGTTGTAAGGTAAAAGACACAGTATGAAAAACTGTTGCTCATAATGCGTCTCCGTCCCGATTGAGTCTTAAAAATTTTATCAGGCCTTGTCTAATGTTTTTTTTATATACATATTTTTTTCTCAGTCTCAAGTTATTTATACATGAGCTCATGCCCAAGCATAAGTTTCTGCGAAACCTTTTTGCGTCCATTGGTTTATTATATAATACTGTCTTTTATCTACTACTGCAATCCTTTTTTTTTCTTTCAGCAATAAAGGTTATTATAATTATTATCACAAAAATTGATTTTCTGCTCTCAATTTTGACACAATCAACATTTAGCAAACCTCCCCTTAAATATATATATACAGAAGTGACATTAGCAGAAGGATAAAAGTGAATGTAGATCTTATTAGTCAAAGGAACGTTATTTGACCTAAATCGATTGGATTGGCTGTTTAATAATAATGACTTGAATTAAAGTAAATCAGACATTACTGGCAAGTTTTTCTAGCAGCCACACCATTGTTCTAAGGATAACTGAAAACGAAAACAATTTTATTTTTTGAAATATGTATCATTTTATTGTGAAAAGAACCTTCGTGATTGTGTGAGCTTGGTTTAAGTATAAACTACGAAATACAATTAAATTATCACTAGTTTCGTAGATAGTTTTTTATTATTGAGTTCAAATGACCATTTTTGGAGGATTGACAAAAATCACAAAAATTAAAAAATATCGGGAAGGATCGATTATCCACTATATTATAGAACCTATACTATTCAAAAAAACTTCCAAATTTGAGACGTACTCCAAGAGTGATTTTCCTAAACAATATTTTAAGTTTCGCCCCCTAAATCTATCGTAAGCCAACCCCCAATCCACTCCATCTTCTAAACAACTCCACCATCCAAATCAAATCACCTCTAAAATCTGCAACAACCTCTTCGTTCGCGTATACCGGCACCCTTGTCGGCGTGTCGCGTGTTCCCGAGTGGAAAATGACGCGGGGGGCGGTTCACCCGTGTGCGATCGCAGTAGGCACTGACAGCCGCGCGACGGCCACGATCGAGGGTGGCGATGCGGCGCGATAGCAGACGAAAATGGTCGGAAACAGACGAACGTCAGGAAGATGCACCTGGGGAAAGGTAGAGGTAGAGGTTGAGGAGCTGCCAAAACTTTATTAGGGCAATTAAATTACTCATCATCATACATACCAAATAGGGTTAAATTGGAACCCAAAAACTTTACAATATTACAAATGAACAAAATGAACTAACAAGGATTGTGGAAATACGCACACGCACAAAATACTTGTACCATCTATTACCAACATCATCCGCTGGGAGAGTAAACAGACGCTCGCTGAGGCCACCTGATGCCTTCAATTCTGGATATATAGTAGATGATCGTCTACATTTACTGTGCCATTATTTTGTCCGTGATACTAACTGCGTGCCAACCGTATGAGAGGCTGTTTCATGCTTATTGGCAATCATCATGACCTAGCCTTGGTCTATAGGTAGGACAACGAACGAAAGTAGAGCCAACGTACCAAATGTTCAAAAAACAAAAGAAGTCTATGGTCTTCTCTGTACATTGTGTTTGTTGTGATTTTGCGATAAATCAGGTATACAAAACAAATGACTATTTGCTCATTTCAAGGGCTACCTAGGATTTTTTTCAATAACTAAGGTTTTGCAATGCCAATATGTATAATACACTTTTGGAATCAGCTATTTATCTATGGAACAATCCAATAGCGCGTCTATAAGAAAAAATAAAGTTGATGCTGGAGGACAAGAGATGCAACACCATAATTATGACATTTTGTAGTGGACATGTTAATGCGCAATTTATTTCGAAATCCTACTACGAACAAACTGAAAGAAACATCAAAACTATTTAGAGAAAATTATTTTTCTCGTCTCTCTCCTACTTTGAATTTCGAAAGCGTATAGGCGTATTTTGCAAATGGCCTGAATACCCAACTTTGTCCCCATTTGAGCGACTTCGTATAACTTACCGTTTCCGAGATCCTAATGGTCAGGGTCGATTTTGAAACACCAGATATACTAAGTAATATTACGAGTAGGAAGAAATGCGATGAGGCCATCTCTTCGAAGCTACAAAAATAGTATTGTCAAACAGAATACTTTATTTTTCCCTGTATCCTTCCTTTTTTGGCCCTCTTCTCATACTGTTATTACTCTACACTTTGTAATTTATATCCTAGTGCGAACATGCACCCATAGCAGTGCTCCAGGGACTTCATACAGTGTAATGTTAGTACCCAAATTGTTTTAAAATCATTCATCAATTCGATTACGGCTTGACCGATGGATGGGCCGTGGACTTTGCTTTCAATACAATACCTCCTTGTAGACTGCATCTGCATATTCTTAGTTCCCTATACGTGGAGAAACCCCGGCCGTGTTTCTTGGGTATTGAATATATATCAGGAGACGTCTTCCTTGACTCTTAGTAAAGGTTTGAATCCATTGACGCTCATAGTGGCAAACAAGGTGTTTTTAACGTCACTGACTTCTTTGAGACATCTATATCGTCTCCCGAATAACTTGTATCAGCTTACTTGTTCAAGAGAAAAATTGATTTGAATATATGAAAGATAATTGACCTTTCCTTGGATTCTGACGCTTGTTCTTAAAATACGTTATTATGTGAAATAGTTTCAAAATTATATTTGCTTAGCCAAACAAATTGTTAGGACCATAATTCTCACCAGGTACAAATCACATACAGCCGTGAGTATGAACATGACGACTCACAGCCTGCCTCAGAGTACTAAGTGTATAGAGAGATATTATTCAGTTTATCATACAAAGGTGATTATAGTCAACGC